TGGGGCACACATTATTATGTTGCACTGTAAGGAGGTCGTTTAGCCATCATCAGTAGTAGGTAGGTAGAAGGCGTCAATACCATACTAGGGTCTAGTTACCTTCTCCATAGTTTTCAATTTGGTTATATTTTTCTTTTATTTTATAGAAGCAAGCTTTACTCCGCAAACCCGCCCGGCCTCTGGCAGGGGTCCTGTAGGCTCGGAATAGCGGCGATGCGATTTTGGTGCGATAGGTCACGGTGTACGTACCACGACTGTGGGTTCGGCCGGTAGACCAAACGTTCGGCCTTGACCGTTGGTTCAGCCAGTAGGCCAAAAGTTCGGCCTTGGCAAGGTCGAACGTTTGGCCTACCGACCGAACCCACGGTCCCCGAACGTCCACCTATCGCACAAAAATCGCACCGGCACTATTCCAGGCCCGCGGACCATACGACATCCGTTTATATTGATATTCACAGTAGGTCGGTTCAGCCTTGGGCCTAATATTGATGGTTACGGCATTGGACTTTCATGCGAAAAATTTGGTGATCGAGACCATCAGGCGACGGTGCCGGAGCGCTGAAGTAGTTTGAAGGAAACATAGCGGTCGAGTGTTTGACGAGACTATCCCCCTGTGTTTTATTGACAACCCTGATCACGGGCCCGACTCATGGGACCAAGGAGGTGTCAGTGACCCCTTCCCTTCCTCTCACCCTTCTCTGTTTTTTTCTCTTTTATTTTTATTTTTATTTTTATTTTGGTCCTATTATTTTTTTTGGGACATGGTACCAGTTCCGGTACTGGTGTTGAGCGCACGGTCCCCGTTGGGGGAACCTTCCCGGCCACGTCATGCAGGATTGGCAAAATTCGCATATCGCTTCATGAAAAGGGAAGCAGCGGAGCCGCTCGGCCGAGTGCGCCAACTATACCTTCATCGAGTCCGTACTACAGGACAGGGTCACGCAAGGTACAACTTACCTCCACACGTGGGAGCTGTTACCATCCCTTGGGTGGGCGTATCCCCGCCGAGCTACTGAACCACACGTAAAAATTTTTACTTGCAATCGTGGAGGTGGCCCAGTCGAGGGCGTTTCTCGTATGCTGTAGCTGAGGGGGTATGCGCGGTCTACGCCTAGCTTGGACCCGTACACGAACCGTCACACTGGGGCACTGATCTCCCACGTGCGATTCAACATTGGTCGACTAGGACATCCTAACTCAACCACGTGATACGCAGAAAACCAACTTAAACAAACAAATAAGCCTAGTCTCTTTTTCATTTGTCCTGACCCATAACTCAAAAGACCAATGTGTCTGCGCGAGGCCCACATAGAGTTGCATAAAAAGAATGCAGGCGTTAAGGAAAACATAACGCTCAGTCATGTGTACTCACTTGATCTGCTGTCATGGCGACGCTTCATGCGTTACCCACATCCGCGCAGCCTCTCATGGGTTTCGGGGTTGCGTACGAAAATCAAGTGTCGAAAGCGAAATATCGTGAAGGGTTCCTCCTTCACGATATTGCACGGCTGAAGGATAAGTCATGCGGCCCTTGCGGCGCCCCTGTCTTTTAGAAAGTGGGTGACGATAAGCAAGAGGTGTAGGTCCGGCTTAACGGGGAAACCCTTTTGCGTTGGACCAAAGTCTGGGATGTCCTGGACAAGGACCTCGAATTCCAGGCTCAGGAATAACACCTGACTAATAATCTAAAAATAAAACGACGAGATTCGCTCCGAGTCATCCCTCCCCTGAGGAAAGAAAATAACAGTAGTCACGGGTTAGCGAGCAATTCGCCATACCCAAACTAAATCTCAGTTCCGTAGAGGATCGAATGCTAATCCTTGAGCTCAATTGTTTCTGCCTGCTTGCTAGATGCGTGGGGCAAGAGTAAAATAAAAAAGAAAAAGAAAAAAAGGGGAACCGAAGGAAATCTAGGAGAACCATTCTCACAACCATAGTTGAACCTTGTTACTCACACTTTGCGCTCATTCATCCATATCGTTCTCAATCCAGACGCAAGCTCTCGCTCCTTACATACCTGCACACACATGAACCCCAATGAAAATTTACACGCAGATGTCACAAAACGTGGTTAACCCCTTTGTTCCCAAGTTCATGTCCCACATGCTCCTTTCCGACGCCCACTCAGCAAAGGCATACCCGCCCGTCTTGATTCACACAACTTTTACATGACCATTCAAGAGAGGTTAAGAGAATAGGAACTTTATTCACACAGAAATGCCCTTCGCCTATGGGGTTACAAACATCTGGGCGTGGTTATCATGGTGAGTAGGAGTTGAGTCGCAAACTGACCTGCTATCACTCTAATAGGAGAAGTTGATTAAACTCACTTCGAAGAACACTCGCAGGTAGCAATGGCCTACGTCACAAAATCAACGCAGACATCGTCTGTCGAGTTAACGGAGTTCAACTCCGTATCGCACTCTAAGCTACTTAGTAGTAGCGTCCGCCATCTGATATCGATGTGAAAATCCCGAAAAATTCGGCAGTACTTACTTTAGGGAAGTATGCTCGAAGAATATTTACTATACTAAATCTCAAAAGAAAAACTTGTGACTATGAAAAATACCTGAAAATAAACTAACTCTTTGGTTTTAGTAGAAATTTCGACAGCACCTCCTTTAGAAAGGAAGGCTTCCAAAATTCCTATCGACCCCAAGGACTAAATTATATCCTATCCTAGCTGACATTTCTGACTCTTGACTAACTTTGAGTATTTAGCAGAAATTTCGACAGCATCTCCCTTAAGAAAAAGAGACTCTCAAAACTTCTACTAACTCAGAGGCTAGCTAAAGTCCTACCAAAACAATCATGCATGAAAAGACAAATGCGAAGACAAAAGAGAACATCTACCTGCCGCTGCCTATTCGCTCAAGCATAAGACGAACACTAACAGACTACCCTATAATGCAAAAGACAAACATAGCTTGAGCAAAAAGACAAAGTATTGTCAACAAGCATGTCATGTCCATATCGCATTCATCCAATTCAAAATAAGCGTTCATTCATCAAAAATTTTCATCTCTCGCTTGTCCTGATCACAAAAAATATTAGTCTTGTATCTTACTTAGTTTATTAAATTTCCAAGTTGTTCTCAGTCAACCTCATGCAATCACTAACACACTTAGGTTGGACTATTCTCACAATGAGAAAAGTCAGACCTTTGTCAACAAGCAAATCAGACTGACTTAGCAAAGAGGTCGGATCGATCAATAGGACCTCATCTCCAACCCCATTTCAATGTCTTAGGCAACCAGCAAAGCGACCGGATCAGTCAGGAGGACCTCATCTCCAGCCTTATTTCAATGTCTTAGGCAAACAGCAAAGCGACCGGATCAGTCAGAAGGACCTCATATCCAGCCCCATTTCAATGTCTTAAGCAAATAGCAAAGCGACCGGATCAGTTAGTAGGACCTCATCTCCAACCCCATTTCAATGTCTTTGGCCAACAACAAAGCGACAGGATCAGTCAAGAGGACCTCATCTCCAGTCCCATTTCAATGTCTTAGGCAAACAACAAGGCGACATGATCAGTTAGGAGGACCTCATCTCCAATCCAATTTCAATGTCTTAGACAAACAGCAAAGCGACCGGATCAGTCAGAAAGACCTCATCTCCTGCCCCATTTCAATGTCTTAGGCAAACAGCAAAGCGATATGATCGGTCAGAAGGATCTCATCTCTTGTCCCATTTCAATATCTTAGGCAAACAACAAAGCGACCGGATTTGTCAAGAGGACCTCATTTCTAGTCTCATTTCAGATCACCGCATGCAAAGATCGTGACTTTTACCACAACCAGATGATTTGGACATGCATAGTAGATTCCCCTTCTGATTCAAGTCCTGAAAAAGAAAACAAAATATATACACAAGTCAAAGTCAAACAGACCAAATGCCAGGTCTGTATAGATAGGGCTTTATTGGGATTCTAATAGTATAGTGTCGGCCTACCTCTGATTTCCCTGCCTCCAGAATCCTGCCTAGGCTCCAGCAGAGCTCCCACAATCGGTGGGTCAACCTCCCACAAAGGCCTTGATGCGGTCCTACGGGTTGCAATCCCGCCTGCTGCATTCGTCTCCAAATATAGACTGGACTGAGAAAAAGAAGGATAAAAGAAGAAAGATAAGACGTTCGAGATACGTGGAGGGACCAACTCAACTCACATGAGAGAGTCTTGGTGCTTTCAGATCTTGACGGCCCCACAATGACAGTCAAAATGCACAATAAGATGATCAAATCGAAGTCGAGATACAGAGCAACAACCTCTTGACTTTCTTCCAAGTTAAAGCAACAATCCTCTTGTGGAGCCTGACAATCCTCTGAAGCGACACCGCCTCACCTCTGACCAACCTTGAGCTGTGCAGCTCCTTTGGTTTTATTCGAACGTGTGTGTACGAGCAACAACACACAACAACAACGCGCATTAGGTAAGGCTTATCAATGAGACACAGTGAAACTCAACGTCCACAACATAGGCACGGTAGTTGCACAACGTATCTCAACGTGATTGTTTACTGTCCAAGTTGTGCGGAAAGTACAAATACACAAATGTACTTTGTCTAGCGGCGGGAATGCACAACCGTTTTTCGATGGCAGACCAAACCACAAACTTCAATCGCTAACGAGTGGTTACTGCTGTCACTGCAACCCATTCAATCAAGGAAAAACCCTTAGTCTGTCAATCCTTGCTATGGGTGATATTTGTCGAAATTTGGAGTAGTCTTTATGACGCACCGCTGTAAGGGAAGATCCAATTTTGCCAATGGAACAACCTAATCGCCCCTCCAATTGAGAATTGTTGTATTCTCCATCTCTTCCTCTTAAAAGAATACGTAGACTTTCACCCCACAATCTGCGCTGTCGAGAATTGACTAGCAACCCCCTTACTGATGCTCATGACAGGTTTGTAATCACAGCGTGACTTAGCGGTAGGTCACATACCAGTCAAAGCCCAGTATTTAGTGGGTGTTCTTGAGGCTCAACAAGTGATAATGGGCTAGGTGTTTGAGCTGCATTTATTCTGAACTTGAAAACCCACCAGACTTCCTCCAACTGCCTCCTTCGGTGTAGAACTTAATCCTGTCGGACACTTTGATCAGAACGACAGTTGTACCAGCGCCTCTCATATCACCTCCCTCTGCGAACACTTTACCACAGGTCAAGGTCAGGTATACTTTTCCTCCCACTTAGCGCAGTTCAACCCAGCAGCACAACGAAGCATGTTGACTGTCACGGCAGTCAGGTAAGCTATATTGTCTCCTTGCTTTTAAATCATCTCTATCCTTCAGACCCTCGCTACTTTCCCTTCCTTTTTCCCTTCTTGATGCTTTATCTCAACTTCCTTCTTTCTCACTAGAATTTTCTACTTTTCTTCGAGCCTCTTCGTTTTCTCAGTACATCCTACCGGACTCAGGCGGAGACGAAGGAAAATAATCATGAGTCACGAATACTACAGGTGAGCGTCGGGGAAATTCGCATGCGTTCACAGGGAAGGACAAGTGAAGAACACAGAACAGAAAAACACGTTTCCACCAACCTTACTCCTACTCACCGTACGTGCAAATCAAGAATGAATCTTCCACTAGAATATGGGAAGTCACATTTGTCATAACTTGGTTCGTTTAACCACGACTACATCGTAGAGGGGGTGTTCTCACTCACGTTGCAACACCCGACTACTATCACACATAGGATCCCGCACGGTTGGAAAGACAGCGATGGCAACGAAGTACAATAATCGGGACAAAGCAGCATGGCGATCACGACGATAAGGAATTTAACCACTACCGCAAAGTCTTCCTCGTACTTCTCTTCACCCAATAGCTGTGCTTTTTACATACGTGCACCTGGTCGCAATGGCGGATAGGTTCAAACAGACAAAAGGAGAAATTTAAAAGATTTCATCCCCTTCCCTCAACTTCCCTTCCAGCCACATAATCAACCACCGCGTGAGTGTCCTTCGACCTCCTCCACGTAAGTCCATTCGATATTGACTCCACTCTTCTCTCCTTTCCTCTACTTTCTCCTACCCTCTCCGTGTTACCTTTCTCCTCCCTTGACCCTTAATGAACCTGGTCAGAGGCTTGGTTAGGCAAACGTGAAGCCAGAGCAATACAAACGAATCAAGTAGCGTGACGACCTGTAGATCAGCATGATGAGTACTAAATTCACAACCAGTTCGAGGGGATAGCAAGAACGGACGTTAGTTGAATATGATGACAAAGACGAGTACCGTCAATCAATCAATCAATCAATCAATCAATCAATCTTCTTCTTTTTCCTCTTCTTCTTCTTCTTCTTCCTCTTCTTCTTCTTCTTTTTCTTCTTCTTCCGCCTGCCTCCTCCTCCGCCCGCCTCCGCCCGCCACCTCCTCCGCCCGCCTCTGCCCACGTCCGCCCGCCTCCGCCCGCCTCCACCCGCCTCCGCCGGCCTCCGTTCACCTCCGCCCGCGAGATAGGGGGAGGAGGAGATGGATCCAGACGCGATAGGGGAGGAGGAGATGGAGGAGGACAAACTGGAGAAGGAGTAAGAGATGTACGAGAACAAGATGGGGGAGGAGAAGATGGAGGAGGTGGAGGAGATGGAGGAGGAGACAAGGGTCGAGAGAGAGGAAGAGGACAAGATAGAGGAGGAGGGGTAGGGGATGGAGGAGGAGGAAATGGAGGAGGAGGGGTACGAGATGGACGAGGAGAAGATGGAGGAGGAAGAGATGGAGGAGGAAATACAGGAGGTGGGGTAGGAGATGGAGGAGGAGGAGAAAATAGAGGAGTAGGAGATGTAGGAGAATAAGATGCGGGAGGAGAAGATGGAGGAGGAGGAGGTGGACGAGGAGATGGAGGAGGAGACAGAGGAAGAGGACAACATAGACGAGGAAGAGTATGGAAAGGAGGAGGAGAAAATAGAGGAGGAGTGGTAGGAGATGGAGAACAAGATGAAGGAGGAAGAGATGGAGGAGGAGATAGAGGAGGTGTGGAACAAGATGGAGGAGGACATGGAGGAGGAGTAGATGGTGGAGGGCATGGAGGAGTGGATGGTGGAGGAGCATGGAGGACATGAAGGAGGAGAAGACAGTGGTAGAGCATGGAGGATGGAGGAGGAGGAGTAGATGGTGGGGGAGGACATGGAGGAGGAGTATATGGTGGAGGACATGGAGGAGGAGTAGATGGTGGAGGAGCATGGAGGACGTGGAGGAGTAGATGGTGGAGGAGGACATGGAGGAGGAGTAGATGGCGGAGGAGCATATAACGACCATTTTGTCAAAATGGACATTTTTTATTTTTTGAACGAAATTGAAACCGAGTTTTTTGGCCGAAAACTCGTCAAAATTTGTTGTTCCTGAGGGTCCAGCGTTTTACAAATGCCGGACCTTCAGGGACAACAAATTTTGACGAGGTTTGGGCCAAAAAACTCGGTTTCAATTTCGTTCAAAAAATAAAAGATGTCAATTTCGACGAAATGACAGTTATATGATGGAAGAGATCGAGGTGGAGATGGAGGACCAGGGGATAGAGGTGGAGGACATGGAGGAAGAGGATATGGAGGCAAGAGGGGTAGGAGATGGAGGAGGAAATGATAAAGGAAATTTAAGGAACTAACATTACATTATTGAATCAATAAACATTTCATTCCTATATGACGCCATTTATAATTGTTTGCCCTTTTTTTTTTTTTTTTTTTCCCATGCAGCTGATGCAGACCAGTCGACGCTCTGCAGAGTACAGGACCAATAGTCTTGCGTCGCCAGGAGTGCACAGCTGCGGACAGTAGTCGTGGGTCAATCAGTTTTAGCACCACACCACCATCACCTTTTGCGAGTTATGGCATCCGGCAGTACACGACGTAGAGGGGCCCCGCTACCACCATTTCAGCCTGCACCCAAGCACAAGCAAGACGATTTGAGGCGCGATCATGTAGTGTGGGAGTGGGTTGAGAGGGGCCAGGAGTGGGGAAAGGAAGGCGGGGGCAACTTCCTTATCCGTTGCCGCCTATGCCAGGCGGTTTTTACCGGTTCTAGGTCTCGTGGAGTTGAGCACTTCACGAAGCAGAAGGCGTACTGCCCGTGGCGGAGTGCAGAGATTTTGTACAAGTTGCAAACTGTAGGGGCAGTCCTTAAGGATGCCATCTCGCAGCGCCTTGCTTCAGAGTACGCGCAGAGGGTGGATGGTGATATGGCTGCGGACGACCTCCGTCAGTACATGGAGGCGGAGAGGGGTGGAGAGGTGGAGCAGTCGCAGCCCGGGGCACCCTTGCGTGGTAAAGGAGCGGATGGTGGCGATGCCGGTGGGGGGACAATCAGACTGGCGAACAATTTGGATCCAGAGCGTCGGCGTGGTGGTACGACACGAGGCGGCACTCAGCGTACGGGTTTTGAGGACGCATTACCCCATGGAGAAGGAGGTGTCGGAGGTCTGAGCGACACTTATCAAACAGGTGGATGTAGTGTTAGTAGAGTCCCGGCCTCCACATCCATAGTGCCGAGGCGGCAGTTGACTCTGGATCCCCATATAGGGAACAAGGATGGATCTTGATCGGTTGTGGGCCCTCACTATCTATCGTGGCCGAGTGGCCTTCAACTGGTTGCGGTTGGCTGAGATGCAGCAGTTGTGGGACTACATATGGCCTCTATTCCATCCCACTATAGAACCAATTCCACGACTCCTCTCGTATGAGGGGGTTCGCACGAGGATGTTAGATATTATCTTCCATGAGGTCGCAACCCTCATTGCCCCTAAGAAGGCAAAATGGGTTACTTTCGGTTGCACGTTGATGACAGACGGGGCTACTGACACGACAAACAAGCCCATTATGAACTTCATCAAGACAGGGGAGTCCGGACCGATCCTCATCCGGACGATCGACATGTCGCATCGCAACAAAACCGGCGTTAGCTTAGTGGAGATCTGGGAGGACGTTATTCGAAAATGACATTGGCATTCAAAATGTCAATGCGATATGCACAGACAACGCTGAGGTCATGAAGATCACGACGAACATGTTGCAGACACATCAAGATCCTGCTGTGCGTTGCATTCCCTGGATCCCGTGTGCAGCACACTGCCTGAGTTTGCTGCTGAGGGACATTGTCCTACAGCCTTTTGCACGACAAACGATGAGAGACGCGCACAAGATTGTGAAGTTCATGTGCAACAAACAAAAAGTGTTTGCACTTCACAAGGACATGAAGAAGGCGTTGGTGCTCAGGCGACCGCGGAGATGCGTTTCGATACAACATACATGATGTTGGAGAGGCTGTATGACCAGAGGGAGGTCTTTGACACATTAGTATCGTCGGAGAGGTGGGCTAGGGTGCAATGGGCCGGCGATGCTCGGGAGCGGATGCCTTATGCCCGCAGGCTCTGCAGGGATGACGGGTCTTGGAGGGATGTGAAGAGGGTGTTGGACGTCATGGGTCCCGTTTACGAGTTTCTCAGGGATCTTGATAGGGACGGTTCATCACCCACTGGGCTGTGGGATTTGGAGGCCATCCTCTGGCAGAGACTTCATTCACTCGATCTATTGGACGTTGACAGGGATGCGGTGATGGACATCGTGAGGGATAGGTACGCGATGATGCGGCAGCCTACTCATGCAGCTGCTTACCTACTGGATCCACGACGGCGCGGTATTTCATTGCTTGAGGAACGCAACAGGCCTATTGTGCAATCGGTGCTTGAGCACTTTGCTCTCGTTGTCGGAGGGTGGGACACCGAGGCCATGCAAGGTCTGTGGGAGGTCCTGTGGACTTTCCACAACGACAACCTGCGCTACCTTGTTACGACTTCACTCCAGTCACTAGCCCTGCCTTCGGCATCCCCCTCCTTAAGTAATTTAAGGTTAGGGTAACGACTTCGGGCATGGTCATCTCCCATAGTGTGACGGGCGGTGTGTACAATGCCCGGGAACGGATTCACCGCCGTATGGCTGACCGGCGATTACTAGCGATTCCGCCTTGATGCAGGCGAGTTGCAGCTAGGACATTCAAATCTTGAATTCCCTATGGAGAGCGTAGTACGATGAAAGTTGTATGCTACGTTCGGGGGGAAGTAATTGCTAATCTGCTAATTCCTAGGTAAAATCAAAGAGAGGAATTACTGAGGTAGTTGCTTACCCCGTGGCGTATGTCAGCACTGGTGGGACTCGTTCGCGACCAGCGACGTGAACAAGATGCATCCCTCAATGTGGTGGGGGCTTCACGGTGGTCAGCAACCCATTTTGCAGGGCATTGCGCGGAAGGTGATGGGCATGTGGTCCACGACCAGTCCTTGTGAGAGGAACTGGCAACTCATAGCGTTGAGGAACCGCTTGTCCGCACATAGCGTTGAGAAGCTCGTGTTTATGCATTGGAACTTGCATCTCCTCAGTGCGAGCAAGCGGACGAAGAGCAGGTACATGGATATTTGGGCTAACCAAGTTGAGGAGGAGGAGGTCGTAGTGGATGTGGATGACACCATCCCTGCAGATGTGCCGGACAAGGAGGCGGAGGCGATTGAGAGGAGTAATAGGAGGAAGGAGAGGCGCAATCGAGCTGGGAAGGGCAAGGCACCAGTAGTGGAGTCGGAGGACGAGGAGGAGGGCATTTTCGATGACCTCGTGTGGATGCACCAGGGGATTAGGAAGGAGGCACAGGCACAGAGGGCTGTTGGGACGACTCTTCCAGAGGACCAGCACGACTTGCTGGATGAGTGGGGTGGGACCCGGTGGGTAGGATCCGCACGACGACTTGGACGCATACGTTGGTGGCACCATGCATACTATGGTGTCCATGAGCGAGAGGTTTGGCGGTAAGGTTGATATGGAGGAGTTGCTGGCCGGTGATATGCAGGCAGAGGAGGACGAGGTGATGCAGGATGCGGCACGGACTCAGGACGTTCCAATTTCAACGACTCCCACAACACGAGGTACTAGTGTTGCTGACCCCTCTTCTGTCGCCACAACGATACACACGTCCCAGCCCCCGATTGAGCACGGGGTGCATACACAAACGCAGGTGGAGAGGGAGGGGAGGGTGGCTCAACATCCCGAGCTCCCCCGACATGAGAGGGACGAGCATAGAGTGGAGCAGTTGCCGCAGCAAGTTGCACTGGAGCAGGTGACACACCAGGTTGCGGAGGCAGGGCACGCCTCTCAAACCGTCTCTCAGTCGGTTCGGCGGCATGGCACACTCCGTCCACATGGCAAAATAGCTCCACGTACAGTGGTGCAGTCATGCGAGCAGCGCGTGGCGGAGAGGGTGGACCCCACAGGAGCATTTAAGCATACAGCACGAGTCCCTGGAGCAGCAGCATCGACCGAGAGTAGAGCAGCGGGTGGAGCAGACGGCGGAGCGGACGGTGTACAGTAGGGTGGATGACATGTTGGAGTGCAGGGTGGAGTTGAGGGTTGAGCAGAGGGTGGGGCAGAGGGTTGATGAGAGGGTGGAGCAGCGGGTGGATCAGAGGATGAGGGACGTGGTAGAGGTTATAGTTGACGTGACCTTGGATCAACGCAGGGATCGAGGGACGGAGGAGAGTGCTCGTGGGGTGCCGAGTGATCGCCACTCTGGCAAGAGCGTCATCCGCGATGTTGTGATATGTGGAAGTACGGAGCAGAGGTTGGACACGGACAGTGCTGCTGGAGATCGACCTGGCTTGGACGGGATTGGTAGAGATAGAGGCGACATGGCATGTATCCGTGATACGGGCATTCCGCCATTGCCTCCACAGGACACGTCTCCGTCTTCATATGATGTTCTCACGCGGCGCACTTTCTACGGAATCCCACCACTACCATTGCGGATGACATCGCCAGCATTGACAGCGATGAGGCTAGAGATTCATTTGGGGAGGTCTACGACACCCGGTGTAGGTGGCGGACACCCTGCTACACACGGTCGCGCACCGAGTTCTACACATACTACCCCTTCCGGGCCCTTCGTCATCATCTAGGGGTAGCACCCCGCCTCCACTTACGTCCGCTTTAGCACGCCTTCCTCTTCATGTGTCTAGTGCTTCCACCTCTAGGACAGGCAAGGATATTCAGCCTGCACGGAATCCATTGGGCATGATGCCACTCCCAACACGACCCTCCTCAGCTATTGTTGATAACGTCACGACGAGTCGTGCAGGCAGGAAGAGGAGGAGGGATGAGGATGACGAACGCGAGCATGCACGTGCAGGTCGAGTACGCTGCAGCACCGGGAGAAGACGAGGACGCCCACCAGGCACAAGCCGAAAGGAGGTCGCCCACCGGCCTCAGGACGACACTCTTGGGCGATGAGCCAGTCGGGTGTAGAGGACACCAGTGAGGGAGGTGTAGTGGATGGGACAACAGGGGGTTCACCCGCAGTGGGTGTACGCACGAGGGCGCAGTCGTAGGGTTTAGGTGGGCGCCGGAGAGAGAGTCATATCATTGACGATGATCCAGAGAGCGATGACGATGTTTCCGGTAGTGATTATGCAGGGGAGAGGGATAGTGACATGAGGAGAGGTGATGATTATGAGGATTGTAGCAGAGAGGAGGAGGAAGAGAGAGATGTTCCGACGTCTGACATAGTCACTATCTTGGCGACCACGTACATCCTTTCGCTTTGCACTGCCACACCCTGAGCATTTGTCCTTTCATTTGTATGCTTTCAATGTCATTGACGTCCATTCGCCTAGTGTATACTTGTCGAGTGCGCAGTCAGTCATGCTGTTTATGAGTGGTGGACATTGTGTGTGCGCGTGTGCATGTGTGCTTGTGCGCGCGCGCGCGCGCGCGCGCGCGTGTGTGTGTGTGTGTGTGTGTGTGTGTGTGTGTGTGTGTGTGTGTGTGTGTGAGTGTGTGTGCGTGTGTGTGTGTTTGTGTGTGCATGTGTGTGAGTGTGTGTGTGTGCATGCGTGTGTGTGTGTGTTTGCGTTTGACTCGCTGGGCGGCGGTATGTGTGTGTGGCTGACTCTCTTTTTGTGTCTGTGTGAGATAACCTGAAGCAGGTGGTACTCATTGTAGGCAGAAGGTACGTCTGCATTTATGTCACCTGTTGTATATTTTGTGCATAGATGACATGCAACAGGTGGTGGAGTTGCAGGCAGCAGGTATGATATGTTTCACACCTTCACCTACCTAAACCAGCAAACCCCCCAGTACTATTTGTTTGGCCATGTGAAAGGCCTTCACATGATTGAGCACCCTCACGAGGTGCCAAAGAATCAGTGTGTACCTCGAAATGCAGCAGGTCTTGTAGACACAGCAGGTGCTTCACATGCAGAACCAGCTGCACCTTAAGGAACTGCTGCACATGGTGCAGGTGCTGCAGATGCAGCATGCAGCAACAAACATAGCAGCCAAGTCCTTTGTCACCCCCTGAACCCCCCTCCCCCACCTCCCACTACTAATTATTTCACAAAGTGCTCACCTCCCACTACTAATTATTTCACAAAGTGCTCTGTTTCACGTGGAATTTGGTGTGTGGGGGTGCCTAAACCAGCGCAAGACAACCCTTTTTTTTTTTTTTTTTTTGACTTTTTTTTTGCCCCAAAAGCCCGTCATCTGGAAACCTGGACGACCCGGACCATGGACGTCCGGAGGAGATGTCCAGGGGAGACGTCCGGTCTCCGGACCATTGGTAACCTAGTTTTTTTTTCTTTTTGGCCGTTGGCCTACAACCAACGGATTCTTCTAAACTCCACTGCCCTGTTGTAAAGCAGACCCGAGTTTGATTCCCAAAGGAATTGAACTCCATCAAAATAAAATTTGGACCATTTTTTGGCTTACTCGTGTCATCCTTGCGCAGGGGCCATGCTAATCTCCCTGTGGCGCGAGCAGTTTCGGTCGTGTGATCTTTTGATCGCACGACTGAAATTCTTCGAGTTGCACTCAAGCATTGGGCTTCTCTTTATCAAAAAGGAGCTAGCCTCCTTTTTGTAGCTCATCGATTCGATCCCGATATTTGTCAGGTGAAAGTTAAGTGCTAATACCTACTGAGCTAGCTCCTGTTCCACATTGAACAAAAGCAACTCTTCAATATGAAGAGATTTACACCCCCCAGAAGGTCGCCAGCCCACGACCAAGTAAAATCTAGTCGCTACTGCCCCTCAAAAGGTTGGCCGTCCACCACCGAATCAAGCGCGTGTCCAGCCTGACAGGGCAGGACGTGGACCCTCCACCACCTAGGTGAGGGCTCGAACTCCCGGCACGGATAATATATGGCTCTTTGAAGAAGAAAAAAAAATGGCGTTCTACACTTCCTACGCCGCGAACGTACACGCAACACGGCCATCCTTTTTAGCTACTTAGGCCCCGAACCATACGGCTTAACAACTGCGCGTCACAATTTTTACTAGAATAAATTAAAATTTTATATTTTTATGGTCGTCTGCCTCTGCGGCTCTACCCGACACGGAGAGTGATTGGCTATATCACCAATCCTCGTCGTCGCTTTTGCCGACAGTAGGCGTTCGTACCTAAGAAGAAAAAAATTGACTTCTTAATCAATGGTCGAGTTTGAACAAGCTTTGGCAACACTGCAATCTCATCAAGTCAAACTTCCCAACAAAATCCATACTGAAAACCAGACAACGTCTGGCATTGAAAACACAGGGCAGATACCCTTGCTAGGGTTTCTGCAAAATTCTGCTTCGACGACGAGACTTCAACAAGTGACAACATTGAAGGCGAAGGCGGTAATGGAAAGGTCAGCGGATCCTCGGGCAGCGTTCCCGCAGGGAAGCACAAGAACGGACGTCAACTGGCCTTCGAGCTAGTCACTGATGTCATTAAGAGTCACTTAACGGTGGTGGCGGATTCAGTGGACCAGGCAAGCAAGCGGCAGTGCGATATGATGCGGAGACAATGCTGCAAAATGGAGAGGGAGGCGAAAACAAAGGAGAGGTAGTGCGAGGTCCTAGATGTAGGGCAACAAATGCTTTGCTACGCTCTGCTGAAAATAGTGTCAGCGTTGACGAGGGTCTGTGATCCGTATTTGTTTTTTTATCGTCTTCTTCTTTCTATTCTTTCCTTTCATTTTTTTTTTTATTTACTTGTTCATTTTCCGCCGATCCTTTCGAGTGCCTGGCCACCATGTAAGAATAGTGTCCCCTCCGGCTTTGTAGGTGGCGTAGAGGGTGATCACACTCGTGAATTTCCCGGGAGGTGGGCGCTAAAAAAATGCTTTTCCGCTCCACCATTTGGGCAATGGATATTGGCGCTCTCGAATGCGGGTGATCAGGGGTGATGCACTATGGAGTGATGGTCGGGCGTCGGTGTGCCAGCATACTTGGATCACGCAAGATCGGAAAGAGGGGGGAGGGGGGGTTGTTGGTGGGTTTGTAGTTCAATAACTTCGGGGGAAGTAGGTGTGAAGGTTCGGAGAGGTTGATGCGTGTGCACGGCGATGGGCGTCGCCATTGCCTTGAGAGGGTGTATCAACGAGAGATGTGTCATCTTCTGTGAGATGAGGCATCGTCGGGACAATTACAAAGATGCGCGTTCAACTTCATGAACTCTATCATGAGTGAGAAGGTGTGCCAAGTCGATGCAGATGGAGACACGTGTGTCCAGGTGGCAGTGGGGTATGGTTTGACCAGAGGGCTTCTAGCGCAGATCGTCATGTTCGCAACCAAGGTCAGAGTCGCCATTCCGAACAGATGGGACACTAGGGTCTATGTCCTTGCAGACATCGTCGATCTTCTTGTTCTGAACGTCGCCGTCGAGTACGACAATCGTCTAACCGACAGGGATTTTTTTTTTCTCACACAATTTTTCGTTCAGGCAGCACATCGATTTTGATAACCGACAGAGCAAGACAAAACATAACAAAATGTAATGGACAAAATTGTACACCAGTCACAGCGTTGAGATAGAGGAAAGTAAAGGTCTTCGGGTCCATACTTCCTCGCGGACACTACCTGGCCATTGCAAAGGGCCAATCATGGTCCAAATGCTAACGTTGTCTACCAGCATTGATTGCTCCCCCAGACGGAGAAGGATTAATTGGCAAGCGCTAAGCACATGTAATCCAACCTAAATGTATCATCAACTTCACCCAATCGTAACCATCCCCTACACGAAGAAAACACAGACGCACGCAAACCAACCGCTAGTCATCAGATATGCATATTCAAGCGCAGGGCCTCTTTGAGAGCAAATGCCGCCTCGGTCACGCCGGCCTTTGACGCTGGCTGGGCGACGTCTTGCAAACCCATATCAATAGGCACAAGATTGCCATTGTCGTCTCGGTCGAGCAGCAAATTCTCATCAAACGCAATCCCGACGTCTATCAAGATGTTGTGGATCATGCAAACCATAAGGAACTGCGACGGGAGGTTGTCCACGTTCGGCTTATGATGACGATGAAACAACCTCCACATCCCCTTTCAGCCCGAATGCCCTTTCCACCCCCCTCCCGGTTGTCTTCTATCTGTTGTCGAACAATGCCTCATCGCCAGTCTGGTAGCAACCTTCGTACGGGGACGGCGATCCATATCCGAGGTGAATACCCATTGTACCCGAGGATGTAGCCCGTCGTCCGAACCCCCGCTGGCAGTAGAACCACATCCGCGTTGAAGATCTCTCCCGCTTCCGCTTTCCTGAATAGCGTCGAGTTTCGAAGGACGCGCTGCTCATGCACGCTACCCAGGTAGCCCACGGACACATCAAGTATCCTCATGTCGAGGTCGACCACAACCTGTGCCACCACGGATAATTATTATTTTCTGTCGAAGTAATTCTCCGAGGGTGCGTTCGCAGGCTTGTCCACATATATATGGGTGCAATCAATTGCACCCATACAATTAGGGAAGTCTTTTCCAGCGAAAGCACGGAGGACCTGCAGAAGACGCCAACCGGTCGGCATCACAAACTTCTCTAGGTATGCAGACAAGATTGCATTGGTGACGTCCATGACGGCCGCGATCCCTTACGACCTCCCGATTCCGAATGAAGAAGTGCTGCTCTCAAAAGTTTCGCGTGACGACCACCTGTAGAGCGCATAAGCAACGATGTGGTCGGGCTGCAGTGGCTTGCGGTAGTGTGTCAGTTGCCGG